CATAGTTGGTCAGAGTGACAAAAAAGAAGTAGGTCAATGACCTGTCAACTATGTTCAGCCTGGCCTTCAACCATAGATTGTCCATTCAATACGAAGTCACACTCTGCACGTGCACAGCATAGTTTTGAACTATGGCGGCACTACTGACACTATTCAATACACAAACAGAACGTAGGCTCAATGGAAGAACTCTGTCCACTAATTACATTTTAAAAGAAATAGCAAAGATTGAATGAGGCTATTAAATTCAGTTGACACATGGATGACCCGTGAATGTGGGTTAGTAGCGTAACATTTCGTACCACCACACCCCAAACACGGTATTGTTATTGTGTATCACTGTGTTACTAAAAACAGACGTGATACAGCGTGGTGAACTCGGTATGTGTGGAATGGTTATCTATATCTACAATGATAATCAGTCACAGTTTTCACAACTAAAATAACTCAAGGTTTCATCGGCTTTTAATCTCTCTATAAAAAAATTATTATTTTACAAATATTTTTAGAAGTATAAAATATAATTATGCTTCCAGATAGAGGCATTAGCTACATGATGTATCGAAAGCTACGAACAATGGCTTTTGTTACCATCATGTCCATTAACACAAGATAATGAAATGTTGTTCATCAATCACAAAAGTTTAAGCGTCAAAACGAAAACACAGGTCAAATACACGATTAGAAATTGTCACTTTTTAAGTCAAATATTTTAGGAAAAAGGTGTGGGTGCATCTACAAGGTCTGCTTTTAATATTTAGAATGGTGTCAATTTCTATCCATCATAGGGGTATTATATTTGAATATGTCACTTAAGTAGAGTCAAGTCGTATGTCAAAATTACCTGCAGGGACTAAACTAGGATGCCACGGAAGGTTTCCTACTCTGTTCAATCAAAGCATAAGGGTAGCTTGTATGATTGATTCTGTGAGTTATAAATACTGGTAGGTCTGTGAACACCGGATACTGATTGTGATTTCAATATATTCTGTGGATAACCATGATACAAGTGTTCAAACTTTACGTGTCATTAACTGACGACTTATTATAGCACCGTTAAAAATATAGCCCACTAGTGCTGATTTGTATGCAACTAAAATAAGAAGAAAAAAAAATTATAAGTTGGTCAATTCTCCCTCTGAGAAATCATATTTTGGAGAATTACAAAAATTGTGAAAATGATGCAATAATACTTTTATCTTGAGAGAAATAAAAACCGCAAATGGGGAATTCCTACATTTTATTTATGTGCGGTTGTGCGGGGATACTTAGCAAAATGATTTACACCATGTCGTTAGGTTTATTAACAAACCAAAGTATAGGTTGGTCAGCACAAAGAAATGACCGACAGAGTACTTTTCAATAGCCGTTCAATAAATGGAATTGAACAAAAACATCGGTGGTGTCTTTTTAGGGGACAGCCTTTGTTATTAGTAAACACACCGTAGAGGAAGTTACCGAATGCTGTTGAGTGTTTATTGAAACTGCACAAGCTATAGATAGCAGTAGATAGGGTGGACTGAATGAATGATAATAGGATTGAATGAATAAAGAGATATAACATAATCACTTGGCCATGCAAGCTTTTTGTAGTGTGCGGTATCCTGAAAGAGAACTGAATGTCAAAGGTCAAGATCGACAAATAACGAGTGAAGAGAAGCAAACAAGAGACAAAATGATTTATAGAATAAGCGGTAAATTTAAAGACTACAAGCCAGCGTGACCAAGACCCAGGCGTATAATGAGATGGCCACAACAGAGATATGCACGTACTCAAGCTGCTTAGGAACAGGACATTTTATCTTTATAAGCGAGGGGGACCTTGGTGTGAATGTCGACTCAGATGATATAATTACATGAATATCTATCAAAGAAGACAGCACTAGAATACTATTACAAACTGTGACATAACATAACAGTAAGTTTGTAACCAGAGAGCAAAATTTAAATGAAAAAATGAAAACTTCAAAGCGTGTTATCTCCCCAAACTTATTGACCCAGAAAAGCCCATTTGACTGAATGGCACGACCCTTAATTCCAACTAGTCGTAACTGGTTTGA